AGTCTATTACACTTTATATGTGATCCTTTGTGCTAACTCTTTTATCAAAATAAAACAACCTAGATACTTGTTACTAGAATTTATTAACAACAGATTTACTGCATTCAGTATATAAATATATAGCTTGTATACATATACACAAACTATATACAAATGTCTCGCATTTTTCACTTTTAAGACAGCCATTTAATTATAATGAAAATGTAATATTAACAAAGGGTTAAAACCAGAGTTGGGCAAAAATTACATAAGATATAATCCATAAAATTACTTAAGATATACAAACCAAAGAGTGTGAAAGAATAGTTGTATTTGGCAAACTATTGATAAAACCTTGAAAACATAGAACATAATTTAAGGAAGTTATGTTCATTTTCCATATATTTTCATGTAAAAAACAACAACAAAAGTTAATGAAATCTGCTTAGTTGAAACTTTGGTTAAAATTAAACTAACTACATGTTAAATGTTTTGATAATATAACAGAAACATTGCAGTACAAGTATCAGTTTCTCAGGAGTAATGTTATTAATTTATACGCAGTCCACCATATGGTAACAAAGTGAGAGTGAAAGACAGTGCCATGTTCATAACATGCAAAGTTACAAATCACAATTGTAGTATTCATCTATTATCTATTTTATATTACAATTTTTTTTAAATCCAAACCTATACTCACTATTTTTCTCAAAGACAATGAACTTTTAAGGTTCCCCATTACGCACACAAATTCTTGACTATTCTGTAGTAGAGCCTCACAAACATACAGTTTTAGCCACAATGGTTGGATACTTGACAAAAAGACCTGGAGAGTGTCCACATCTGCTAACACAATGGGACAACTGGATACTAAGGATGACACAAAACGAAGACACTGGGGACCAATACTGAAGCTTTTCTGATAAGACTTAGTCTCAGCAAAATGCACACACTCAGCAACAATGCCAACAAGTTCATGTATTAACAGCAAAGGTTTCATCTAGTAAGATTTGAAACATTTTAGTTAACTTCTACAAAGAAAAAACTAATCATGGAAAAACTTTTAGATAATATTTATAAGAAAAAAAATTACCGTCAGATCTTATTAAAACATGAAACATAACTTTTCAGAAAATTTCCTATTTTGTTTCAATTATTCCTCAAAAAATATGAACTTAATTCCCAATAAATCTTTCAAATAAATATTATCAAAACAAAAGGAAAAATAGATTCTACTTCAAAATACTACATAATAAGAGTAAAAACAAAGTGATACTTTTTTTTTAGCTAAACTCCACAGTGATAATGCACAGTCTAAGCCACAATACAAAGTACTTCAAATTATTCAGTATCCTTCTGTAGCTGGAAAGCTAACAGGCTGTACATAATGTGAATACAGAAACAAACTATGTACTCTATAAGTAAGCTATAATCTTAAAACACATGACCTAAGCAACATATACAGATGAATGTGAGGAAAATTATATAAACCTGTTTAGGGATGCATGGGATTTTTCCAATTTCTATTTAATATTATTTGAAGAAAATTGTTTGTCATCATCACTGAATAATTTTCTTTTTAATGTTTATATCGAATGAGAAGAATCATGAAAAATTTTTAAATAACTAATTTTTCACATGCGGATTACAGCGGATATGCTTATTAAAGAAACTAATAAACCATACCTGTCTGTCACCTTCCCTTTTAATCAACAAGCTGGCAGCCAATAGGGAGAAGAGTTCACAACAAACAGCATTCATACTTCCAACAAAAGGAAGCCTACCAGGCCAAATCATCTGGGCAATAAGAGGTTGCTTTTTATGAATAGTGATGTCTTTATGTGGATCAATGGACCTAGAATTTAACAGAAATGAGTGAAATTTACAAGAACTATTAAAAGAAAAAAAAACTAAGAAATTAGACAAAAGAACCTGTGGAGAAAACTGTCAAAACAAGAACAAATATTTAAGAAATGAACAAACAAAACAAAAGAGCCAATGAAATGTAACATGAACAGAAAAACACAGATTTAGTTGAAAAATTAATTATAGAAACAAGACAAAGGAGTTTAGCTGTCAAAAAGTGTACAAAAGACCTCAGAGGAAGAAAATTGTAGAAACATGAAAACTGAAACAAAAGACAAAACAGCAAATACAAAAAAGTTGTAGGAACAAAACAAAGGACCTAGTGATAAAAAAAAAATGTTGAAACAATACAAAAAGACATTGGAAGAAAAACTGACAAAACAAAACTGAGGAGCCAGTAGAAGAAAGATGAAAAAATGAGACAAAGAAACCAATGGAAAAAAAAATTGTAGAAAGAAAATGAGATTCACTGAAAAAAAAAAGCTGAAGAAACAAGACGATTGAGTAGAAGAAAAAGCTAAAGAAATGAGGCAAACGAACCAGTGCCAAAAAATAAAAACAGTAGAAACAATACTGGAAGAAAGCTAAAAAGAACATAAAGCAGCAAGTGGAAAAAATGTAGAAATGAGACATAGGAACCTTTGGAAGATGTCTGAAGAAATAAGACACAGGAACCTTTGGAAGAAAATTGCAGACACATAACAAATGAACTTTTTGACAAAAGCGCAGATCTCCCAATGGTCCACTGTAGAAATTAAGGTATTTTAAAATTTCCTTTTTCTAACAATATAGAGAATATTGTGGTTTCATCAACTAAAATACAGAGTTAAATATAAAAAATATATATATATATGTCTAAATATAAATGTGAATTTTTGTGAATAAATCTATTGTTTTGCATGTGATGACAGAGATTATGCCACATAAGTTCTGGTAATGAAGTACAAATTATTTTCCTACATCAAAAATTCTGCAAAACTGATACACCAACATGAGTAAATATGGTATAAATATCATGACTACAGTATAAAACATTTTGAAGCAATGTTTGTGGTTAAAATAAAAGTTACTTCAAATTTATAGTTTGTTTTTTTTGCCTATTTTAAGGTAATAATAAAAGAAATAAAGAATAAGAAAGAAAATGAAGGTTTTTGTAATATCTGTATGTTTCACCATGAGGCCTGAAATTGTCAAAACAAGACAACAGAATAAACAGAAGAAAAAGTGAGGAAAAGGAACTAGCAGAAGAAAACTGTAGAAAGAAAGAAAAGGAGCCAGTGTAAGAAAACTAAAAGAAAAATACAAGACAAAAGAAGCTTGTTTGTTAGCTTTAGACAGCAGCACCCTCCATTAACTCTTGGACTACTCTTTATCAATAAATAGTGGGATTGACCATCACATTATAACACAGTCATGGCTGAAAGAGTAAGCATGATCAGTACAAGATTTTCAATCCCATGACTCACAGATTGCAAGTTGAATCCATCACCATGTCATGCCAACCCTCAGCAAAAGAGTCATTAGACCAAAGCTGTAAAAGCAATGTAAAGAAAGACTATAGAATGAGAAAAAAGGAACCAATGGGATGAAAAAAAAACAGTAGTGCAAAAACAAAGGAGTCAACAAATGAAAATTTGTAGGGACAAATCAACAGAAGTTAACATAGAGGAACTGAAATCATAGATAGGTCTAAACGATACAATTAATTTTAATATCAAACACATAATATTATATAAGATGTCAGAACAACAAGTAATATTTTTGGTTCTTAATTCAATAAACAAATGTTTGTGTTTTGTCACTTATTTTCAAAGATAATACAATGAAGATTGTGGTTCTTAATTCAATAAACAAATGTTTGCATTTTGTCACTTATTTTGAAAGACAATAAAATGAAGATTGTGACATAAGTTAGTTTGTTCCAGATATTTGTGCAAAGTCACACAAGAGCTATTTGTGCTAACCATCCCCAGTTTCAAACTGATAGACTAGTCAACAAAACTCACTATCAACTATTGGGCTACTCTAACTGAAAAGTGGAATTGACCACCATTCTTATAATGCCCACAACTCCAAAGTGTAAAGCATGATTTTTTGGCATCTAGACATGAACTATGGATCCTCAGATTCACAGTTAGACATGTAACCAACTGGGCCATCCTGGCTCGTGACATAAAAGAGGAATTAAATATTATTAGCATTTGTTTCAAATGTATGTTATTAAGAATCTTAATCTACTAATACATTTCAACATAAAAAAATTCACTCCCAATTATTGTTATGAGCATCACACCAAGTTTATGTAAATAAAATATATAAATAGCATATGCTTTATCTTGAACTTTTCATATTTTTAACATTACTAATTTCATTCAAGTAGCCGATATTAAAATTTTACAAAACTACAATTTATACAATAATTAAAAAAATACCTTTTTAGAAATGCATCAAAGTTTTTCCGAATGAGATCCATCCATATAGTAAAGAGAAGACAGTTATTAAACTGTTCTATACGTGTTTCATCATTTCCATCTTGCAAAGCACAGCTTATAAAATAAGAACAATACCATTATTTATTCATGAAACCATTAAAATGAAAATTTAGAATTCAACATGTGATGTCTTGTAAGCTAATACATTTACAAATTCTTTTAACACTCAGTTATGATGAGAAAACTGTTTCAGAATTATTAGTGAGAGGTTTTTTTTTATTTGTTTCTCTAAAATACTCACATAAAAGACATGGATACCTAATAAACAGTGTGTTAATCCTTATGCTATGAGATAAGCATGGAAGACAAGTTTGGGTCTTTTAATCAAATGTACAAATGACAATAAGAACAATGTACCAAGTAAAATTTAAAAAAACATTAAAATGAGCTTTCATTTTGTTGTAACCTGTACTGGTTTCTTATATATGAACAGATTATTTTACAATCCAAACAGTTTGTGAACTTCCCTGTCTCATTTTCCCCCATGGCATCAGGTAAGTAGCAGAGCAAATAATCAACTAATTATTTGACAAGTCTGTGCATGTGTGTCTGCTTATAACTATGAAATTAGGCAGTGCTGAATGAAGCTTAACAATCACAGTCAATGACTGACAAAAATGTTTCTCAAGGGATTCTTCTATGCAACTTGGATAGAAAAAGGGAGACTATTAAACAGAAAAATGAAAAATTATACAACTAATTTTATATTTGAAGGAAAAAAAAACATTCTGAAATGTGGCCAAATTAAACTCGGAAAGTTGAAATGGAAAAAAAAAATTAGAAGTTTAACTGATAAGTATGTAGTTTAAATTTCTGGAAAGATTAGAAATCAATTATTGGTCAGGTTACTTATCAGTGATAAAATTGTTCATGCTTAAAATTTCTTCTATTGAGATATTATTAAGATCATTAGGAAATCCTTCTATTTCCCTTTGTTTATATTTTCATTATCAGTTTCAGGATGCTCTGATTATTGGTACTTATAAGTGGTTTAGCATATTACTGCATAATAGCACTACACGATACCAGACATTTCACGTAATACTAGTTATAGTAATCAATTATTCAAATAAATTTGTTTTATTCAACAATTGAATTGAAAACTCATATTCAGTTTCCAGAATGTTTTTCTAAAAGCCCTTGTATCTTTGCAAGAACCTTATACCATGGATATATACAAAATATGGTTATAGGGTTTTTATTCATTTCTACAAAATATGAGAGTTGCTTTAGATACAATAGAGTAAGTTATATAAGCACAGTTCGAAATTTACCAAAAAAATTCACAGTTACATTATATCTTTATACTAAACACAAATTCAGTATTAAGAAGCACTGACTTTTATTGTTTACCTTTTTTTAAAGTTGTTTTATGAGTAAAATATCAATTACTTATCTTTTTTAACTTAGAAGTATACCATATAAAAAGTTTATATATTTAGAACTAAAATGAATTTCAAAACATTACCTCTGAAATACTTTCCTTGTTGAGTTTGTGCTCATGCTCTCAACAAAACATAATTAAAATATTCTGTATGTCCTTTATGTATTGCTGAGGGTGCATCACTTACCCATAATATGTCACTCATCCACCTCCCACATGACTTACTGTGCAAGGATTTTATATAAGCCCTGCTATCCTGCAATAATTCAGATTTTATGTTTAGGATTAATCAAAGTAATACAAGTTATGAAAGTGAAATCTTGGAAGAATGTTGTTTTCATAATG